TGAAAGAGGAGCAGGGGTGGGGGAGCAGGAACTCCAGAGGAAACCCAGGATGCATCAGCGACGCTGCAACACACCCTCCTCAGACGCCCCTTGGAGCCTTCTCGGCCACTTCAAGAAGCGCCCCGCGGTGAAGCACCAACCGCCCCCCACCTCTCAGGCTAGAGGCCCTTCTTGACGACGAGCTGCTTGTCCTGCGACCTCCAGTCATGAAGGGCTGCGCAAAGACATGGTCAGACGGTTCAGCGAGGTGTCCGGCGAGCTCCCCGACTGAACAACGACCGCCCGCTCGCGCAGCGCTCCACGAAGGGCCGCGCCCTGGGCGCGCCCTCGCCCTCGGGGGAGGCCGGCGGCAGGCCGGTGGGCCCCGCCGGAAGTGAAGCTCTAGGCCTTCTAGATGGGGTCGGAGCGGATGGGGTCGGAGGATCGCACCGCATCGCCGATGCATCGGCGATGCGACTCGATGTGAAGCCCGACTTTCTTCACGCGGACGTCGCCGATGCATCGCCGACGTCGCCGATGCATCGCCGGTGCATCGCCGGTGCATCGCCGATGCATCGCCGATGTATCGGCGATGCGGCGCGATCGTCCGACCACATCTACTCCGACCCCATCTAGGAGGCCTCTAGAAACGGCGGCGGCGTCCCGCCAGCGGAAGGTTGTCGGAAGGCTGTGGAAGATGAGTGGGCGCGGCGCTGAGGCGAGAGCCTCACCTTCAAAAGGAGCCGCTCGTCATCCCAGAAGATGTTTGCAGACTTTTTGAAGGCGAACGGTGCGTGGAGCTCAGGCGGCAAGTCCACTGTGAAAGCGGTCCGCCCTCTATCTTTGACGCTGGTCAGAACTGTAACAACGCATGTGCACGGCGGTAATGCGAAAGCTTCATTTTTACAACGGCCCGCCCTCCATTCAAGCTGATAGGACGTCTCAGGCGAAAGGCCCGGCCCGCCCTACCGACGGGTCCGGGGGTGCGACGGGGAGGAGTTGTTCATAGGGAAGAGGGATGGCGGAGGATGGCATGAGAGAGGAGGAGGAGGAGGAGGAGGAGGAGGAGGAGGAGGAGGAGGAGGAGGAGGAGGAGGAGGTTACAGAGTAGAGTTGCGGGAATAAGAGCTATGCGAGGGCAATTTGGGTACGCTCGCACCATATTTGGCATCCTCACCCTCCCACCAACTCTTTCTTATTGAGTGGGTTTGTTTTCTATCCTCTGATTGGTGTCGTAGCTGACCTGGACCCTCTAAAAGGACCCCATCGTGTTGTGCACAATCGGAAAAGGTACCCTTTCGATGAATTCCGACGGCAACAGTGTTACCCACGGAACCATTTGAAAGCCCGAATTGGGCAGAGCAGTGCATCGAGGCGAGTTCTCGTGGCGACTGCGACGCACCAGAACCTACTGAGCCGAGAGGTATCTCAAGCCAAGTCCTCGCGGTGGCTACGGCACGCAAGCGAAACCGGCTCGCGAACCTTTGCAACCACTGCGCCTCTAGGATCGTTTGGAGTTTGCTGTGTGCTAGCTGAGAAAGACCTCCTGCCCGGCCTTGCCTCCAACCTCTCAAGGAGATTTCTGGGGCTTTTCCTGCTCGTGCGTGCCCTCTATGACTTCGATCGCAAAATCGAAAGACATGGCGATAATCGTCCCGCCCAATGATTCAGCATAGCAGGTCCTCATAACCTTTTGGGAGACGGCCTATCTTAAGAGGGCCAGAAACATTAGGGATTTGGGGTTCGTTTCTACAGATGTATCAAATTAACTCGTCCAGATCTACGATCCCGAATGCAAAGACGGGGACCTCAGTGAGGCCACGTTTTCAGGGTTGGGTGTTCTTTTATCCGCGATGACCCAAGGCTCTTGCCTCTCCTTCAAGCGCCTCCTCCCTCTCCTCATGCGGATCCTTCCCCTCGTAGGCCTGCACCGGGAGTGTTCTCCTTCGGCCTGTGGGGCGTTGCTCTTGAAGAAGTCGTTCACCTCGGCCTCACCAGTGCTGCTCATGTCCTCACCGGCCAACTCCCCGAGGCTCTCCATTTACTTGTAGCTCTTTGTGTCAGGGTCTGCGTCTTAGCACTTCTTGTAAAGGTAGTTGTAGTTGGGGCGGGTGCCTTTCACCACTAGGCTCTCTAGGCTCCTGCACTCGGACACCATGGGGTTGTTATCGATCGGCACTGCGGTGTACTTATCGTCCTCCTCGAGGGCCTTGTCGGCGACGCCGAAGTGCTGCGTCGTCGACAATGCGGGGCAGCTGTCCGCCAGCCTTTCTCGATCGAGTGTCTGACCGATCGCACGAGGGTCCACTGGCTCTGGGGTGCACGATCTGCCGCGTATGTCTGCGACCATGGTGTGGCTGCATTCTTGACCCACAAGCCCCTCTTTCTTCGGGTAAGGGTTTCTTTTCGCTGCGTCTTGATCAAAGACATCGTGTGCGTATCGCGCTGCAGAGAAGGCCTCGGCGAGTGTGAGCTGGCGCAGGCAACCGCCGCTTTAGCGCCGTCTCAACTTTCGCCGAGAGTAACTGGATGGCCTTCCTTTGGACTAATATGTTGGTGTCCTTCTCCAGTGACCTATGCAGGCGTTGCTCTTGGTGCTCTCTTGGCTGCCGACTCCTGTAGCTCCAGGTGGCCCCCTCGGCCTCGATGGCGAAGCAGGGCGAAGAACCGGGTTTGCGTGATCTCCTGGGTGTGCCCCTCGTCGCTGTGGCGCTGTCAAGCTCGCGGTGCCTCTAGATGGAGCGGCTCCTGTGCCCCTCTCGCCAGTGCTGCTGTGTTCGGGGGCCACGGGCGTCCCTGGTGTCGGGGCATGGCATCGGGCCGCCTCGGCCTTGAGCTCCCTTCCTCCTGGGCGGCTTCGGCGCCGCAGCACGCGGTCCCCCGTTCATCGTGGGCGGCCAGCAGGGGGTGATGACTCGGATCAAGGGAGGCAAAACCGCCCCGACCCATATAACTGGTGTTTGCTAAACTGCACTGGGCGTTCTCGAGACAGCTGTGCTCTGTAGGATTCCTGCCTCGTGTGCGTTCACCAAATGGCTTCGCTTGCCGGGGTGCTTCTTATGGGGGTGGTGTTCATGGCCAGGGCCATGATATCTCCCTGAATTTCATGGCCCCCTCTTCTTTGTTTCAATGCGTTCTCTGGTCCCCTCCCTCGTCCGCTCATGCCTCGGGCCCTGGTGCGCACCCCTCCGCTCGGACGCCCCGGGGCCTCGAAAAACATTTTTTTGTCTCGTCGGGGGCTAGGCAGGAAGGAGCAGGACGAGGAGGGCCAGGAAGAGGGGGCCGGGAAGAGGGGGGCGAGAAAGGGCCAGGAGGAGGAGGGCCAGGAAGAGGAGGGCCAGGAGGAGGGGGGCGTGGAGGGGCCAGGCCTTCTGCCCCTCCGGAAGAGGCTGCTGCGCTGGCCAGGAGAGGGGGCCGTACACAGCAGCAGGGGAGTGGTCAGCGGCAGCGTGCTACAGTTGCGCGGGAGAGCGCGCCTGTGGCGGCCGTGCTGCGACGGCGGCGGCTTCAGAGTCAGAAGAGGGGAGCTGCATGTATTGGAGGAGGTGGCGGATGAGCAGGAAGAGGAGCAGGAGGAGGAGGAAGAGGAGGAGGAGGAGGAGGAGGAGGAGGAGGAGGAGGAGGAGGAGGAGGAGGGCGAGGAGGAACAGCAGCGGGAGGAGGAGCGAGAGGAGCGGGATGAACCGCATGGCCACGGGAAGGCGGGGGGGGGGTGGAAATGAGCGGCACGACAACCATGAGGAAGGACTCGAATCCAGAAAAGTGGCCCGGGTGGGAGAGAGGGCGCCATCGGGAGCGACGGGATCAAAGCGCTGATCAACGACCTGGTCAAGATACAGGCCAGGGCGGGGGAAGACCCGAGGGCGCAGTAGACGGCACCGTCTGCGCCCTCGGCCCCGACAGGTGCCCAGCAGCCTACGGCTGCCATCAAGAAATTCGCTGCACGACCGAGGTCGGCGACCTCGTTTACGTCATCTACGTCGCCTTTCGTGTCCACGCTGGATCCCCGGCGCCGGCGGGTTTAGGCCGCATGGAGAATGTGGACGACGAGCCGCACCACGCCCACTCCCTCCACGTCTCCTGTCGTCATCGTTCCCGGCCTTATTCTCCTGGTCGTCCTGGTCTCCAACGTTGTCGCGGTGACCGTCTTCTCCCGGTCATCCCTCCTCTCCCGCTGGATGCTTATATTTTTCCGTTGCTTGGGGACCGCGCACGTGCTCTCGACGATGTCCCAGTTCAGATTCGGCTTCGCCGCCGTCTGTGGAGCGCTCTTGGCCTACTCCCGCGCGATGCTGCTGTGCGACACCGAGGCCCTGCGCCGCCTACGCCTCCGTCTTCGGCTTGTGCGAGGCGCCGCGGCCAGTTCGGTGGCGACTACACGGTGTGCACTTGGAACTCCCAGGCGCTCTTCGCCTCGGACCCGCTGAGGCATGCCGCCAAGGCGGAGTACGTCTCCAGACTGATGGAAATGACGGACGTCCGCCTCATCTCCGGAGCTCATGGCACGGAGGTTGCCAACCAGGTTTGGCGTCCGCCGCGCGGGTGCACTGCTTGGTGGTCACAGGGCCTCTCCGAGGGCGTGGCGGGGGTCGGCATCGTGGTCAGGGACTCCTTCCTCGCCAACTTCGACCCGAACCCTAGGCTTGTCCACATCTGGCGGGGTCGCGCAGCCAAGCTTTGCCTTCGAGGTCCCAGTGGCGCTTTGGACTTGATTGCCGTGTACTTCCACTCCGGCTCCAACGACCGCCCCGGCGAGTCCGACCTGGCTGGGAGCCGGGATCCCCATCCCCACACGTCAAGTTTTCCTGCTCTCCGGGCTTCTCCGGCAGCGCCTCGCTGACAACATCGCCGATCGCCGCGAAGTGTTCACTTTACTTGGCGGAGATTTCAATTACGTCACTGAGGATAGGGACCGGGTGTCGCTTACATCGGCATGCAATTCTGGCAGGCGCGACCGGGGCGAGGAAAATCATGTTCAAAATGTTGTTGCAAGGCGATGCGGCTTGTTCGAGCTTTACCAGGTGGACTTCACCCACGCATCGGCCTCTGCCCGTTCCCGCCTGGACTGCTTGTACTCCAATTTCCATGCGTGCGAGCAGCTTGACCGGCGGCTCCAGGTGGCGGCCTTAGAGTGGCGACACGGCCTATCCCACCACCGCGCTGTCTTGGCTTCGCTGCGCTCCGCCTGCCGCTCAGAAGAAGGGGACCGACCACTTACCAACCGGGCCCTCATGCACAAGGATTTCCCGAGGCGCCTGATGTTGGAGTTCCACGCCCAGCACCAGACCCATGTCGAGACGAATCCGTTGGCCAAAGACCGCCTATACAAAGAGTGCATGCGGTCAGTCGCCAACAGGCTCGAAAATGACAATGAGTCTCCACCGCCCGCCGTCGACCTGGAGGACAAGCTCGGCGTCGCGTTGCGCCTCATTCGGGCCATTGAGGGCGCGCGGCCGCACGCTGTTTCTTCTTGCTTGATACGCTCACCGGAGCTCAAGGACTTAGTCAATAACCCTTACGACTTCCACGGCAACCTCACGAGATCTCTGGCGCGGCTCCGGGATTACGCCGTTGGTCTGGCCCGTGACCACGCCTTTGACGAACTTCGCCGCTCGCGCGACGACCTCAATGACCCAGACGGCCAGGTCGCCCACCGCACCAGGCAGAAGAACAACAGGCTGATCTTCAGGCTGTCTCCAGGGCGTACCAACACCATTGGAGCCGTCCGCGAGCCCTCGGGCGAGGCCACGACTTGCCCTGAAAGGATGGCCACTACGCTGTCCGCTCACTGGGCAAAGGTCTTCCAGGCCAGGGGCATCAACAGTGACCTGCTCGCGGAGTGGTTGTGGGAGGATGGCGCTGCGCGGCAGGCCGCGGACTCGACCCCCATCGACGCGAACAGGCTGAAGCTCAAGCGCAAGCACATCCTCCGGGCGCTGCGGGGGTCCAACAACTCCTCGCCTGGGCCCGATGGTGTCCCTTTTTCTGGCGTGGAGGCGATGCCTAAAGTTTTCCGCTTCGCTCCTGCACGAGGCGGCAGAGTTCGTCTTCCAGTCCGAGGTCCAGGACCTACCGCGCGAGGACATCGAGATGCTGAATGGGAGCCTTCTCTTCCTGCTCCCGAGGAAGCAGTCCGGGGTGGCCGGTGAGGGGGCAGCCATATACGAACCAGCAGCGAACACACGACCGTTGAACGTGGCCAACACAGATAACCGGCTGCTGCGCAACGCGATTCGGATTGCCATCGAGCCGGTGGTCTCCCAGCGCATTCTCGACTTGCGCGGCTTTTTGAGTGGAAGGTCTATGCTCGCAAACTTGGTCGACATGGACGAGGCGATGGTCACGGCTATGTGCTGCTCAGACGACAGCGCCGCGATCTTTTTCGACTTCGCGGCGGCTTTCCCATCAATCGAACACGAGTTCATGTTGCAGGTGTTCGAGCACCTCTCCTGGCCTGATTGGCTGCTCCGCTTCATCAAGGTGTTGTGCGCTTTCAACACCTGCGAGTTGGCCATGGGCGGGGCTCGGCGGCAGGGCTTCGCGATCACTCGCGGAGTTCGCCAAGGCTGCCCGCTGTCCCCGCTGCTCATCGCGGTGGCGGCAGACATCTTGTTGCGCCGGATATCGCGCAAGGTTCCTGGCAGCACGCTGCGCGCGTGCGCGGACGACACCGCCCTGGTGCACCAAGACATTTGGAGGGTGCTGCCCGAGATCGAACTCCTCTTCTCTGATTTCCAACGCGCGTCGGGCTTGGCGCTGAACGTCGACAAGACTGTGTTCGTGCCTCTCTCTGGGGATAGCTTGGAGAGCACCCGCGAACGCCTGGCGCGAGCCGCGCCGCTCTGGGACTCCATGACCGTCGCCCGGTGCGCCAAGTACCTGGGCTACGTCATCGGGCCTGGTCGCAACGACCTGTCGTGGGGCTCCCCAATCGACAAGTTCACCGAGCGGGCACGCATCTGGGGAGGTTTAGGCTTGGGGACCCTGAACACCATCCTGGCTTACCGGGTCTTCGTCCTTTCCACGCTGCTCTTCGTCTGCCAGCTGGGCCCGCTACCGCAACGAGCGCTGGAAGCAGAGGAGTCCGCACTCAAGTCCTTGTTCCGGGGGCCTCCCGGCTGGGCCTCGGGCCCCCTGTTGAAGTCCTTGAAGTGGCTCGGATTTCCCACTGAGGTCCCGGACCTGGCCTCGATCGCGGTGGCCGCGAGGGCGCGCGTGGCGTTGCGCGAGAACTTGAAGCAGGGCGGACTGCGGGTCAGTCCGAGGGCCCGCCACCTTCGGCAACTGCTGAGCCGACCGGACTGCGCGGCTCGTGCGCTGCGCCATGGCGGCTGGATTTCATCAAATTTCCTATTTTCGTTGGAAGCTGCCGACCTGCAGGCGCGTGGCATCGGGGGCTTGGACGCTGCAGAACTGAACGTCGGCGACGGTCGCCACCAAGCGACGGGCTGGCAAGCTCGGATCAGCAGGGCGTTACGGCCGCCGCTGGAAATTGCCGCCCAGATCCACCTCCGTCGCAGGCTCGATCACTGGCAGATGCGCACGTTGCCGGGGCATCGCGTGCAGTCGTTCCGCAAACACATGTGCCGGCTCTCCGCGTTGGCCACCCCCCGCGTGCTCTCTGCGACCATTCGGGTTGCTATGAACGGTTGGGCGACGGTCAGCAGATTCGGCACATGGGCCCCGTGCTGCCTCGGCTGCCCCCGTGGCTCCGACTCCATCAAGCACTGCGCCTGCTGCGGTGCATTGCGCGCGCTGCGCGCTCGCTGGTTGGGGCTCACCCGGCCGCGGGCGGACAGCCAGCTCGAGGACTTCGTCGGGCTGGGCATCACGACGGCTCGCTCGGTATACGAACCTGAGGCCGACCACGAAGACCGCTTTGACATTTGCCGGGCGATCGCTGCATATGCGACTTTCCGCGTCCAGGCTGCAGTTCGTCACGGGGCGCCCGTCGCAGACGCCCCTGACCTTTTTCGCGGCTTCATTCGCGTAGCCACGCGCGGGCACCCCGCTAGCGCGCGCGCCGTGGCCCTCGCCAACAAAAGGCAGCGGCATTATTAAGCATTCAGCATCTTCTCTCTTCTGTCGTCGTCGTCGTTTCTCCTCTCCTCCAGTGGGTTTGTATTTCACCATATCGTGCCGCCACTCGGCCGTTCGATACTCGAGGGCGTGCTCCCTGTGTGCTTCCTGGCCGAACGTGGTCACTCATGGCGGTCGTTTTGTTTCAGTCTGCCGCTGGGCTTGCTCAGCCCCCCCCCTCCTTCTCCACTGTGCTGTCCCGGCTTAGGTGCGCGATCTTTCTCCGCCCAGGCCTAAAACAGCGGATAGGCCGGTACATCGGAATTTGCACGCTCAGTCACGTATCCGAGGGGATTCGTATCTCGTTCCATTTGGGTAGTTTGTTTTACTTCTGGCTTGGGCCAGGGTTTTTAAGGCAACTGCCGGCTCAAGGCGTTGCAGGCACAGGGCGTTGCAGGCAGACCCCCCCCTCTTTTTGCCACGCCCCCTGGCGTCTTCACGTTCCCTCCAGCCTCTGACACAGACGGCTGACTTTTTAATTGCGTTTGAAAGTCTCGACGCCTTCACAAGTTGGAAGATACGCCATTTGTTGCGCTGACTTCCGCGGCCGAATCTCTGTTCATAATCTGTCAGTGCAGATGCCTCGATATCAAAAAAACATGAGGCCCCCTCGTTGTAGCGGGAGCACCATTCCGAAAAACAGAAAAACGTCCGAGTGCAACAACCAGCAATTTCAGGAAAATGTATACGCGCAGAGGGTGACTTTTTTTTTCGGGAGGAAGAAGAGGAGGGAATCCTGGAGGAGCAGTGTAGTCATATGCGGTAATCGTGGAGAAGATGATGATGCTGATGATGATGGTGGTGATGATGATGATGGTGATGATGATGATGATGATGATGATGATGATGCTGATGCTGATGCTGATGCTGTTGATTATTAATCGCTTCGTTCATTCCGCTGGCCCTGGAGCGCTATTTGTGGCCTCTTGGAGCCGTTTTGGGGGCTTCTTGGGGGCTTCTTGGGAGCGTCTTGGGGCTCCGTGGCGGCGTATTGGGCTCCCCTGGGGCCTCTTGGGGGGCTCTTGGGGGCCCCTTGGGGCGGGAAGGGGGGTAGTCGTTGGCAGCCCCCCCCCCTCGGAGGCCACGATCCTCGTGAGGGTTGGCGAAAAATAGTCCCCCCTTGGGATCGCCCGGGGATCAGCCGGGGATCGGCTGGGGTACTTTTCGTCCGGGGCCCTCAGGGGCCGCCCCGCGCGTGCGAACTAGAAATATTGTTAAGTAGTTACCGGAGATCTTAGCACGCCTCTGGCCCGTTGGGCCGGCGAATTCGGATTTTGGTGGTGGTGGTGATGATGCTCATGCTGATTATGATGATGCTGCTGCTGCTGATGATGATGATGATGATGGTGATGATGATGATGATGATGATGATGATGATGATGATGATGATGATGATGATGTTGATGTTGATGATGATGATGATGATGATGATGATGATGATGAGGTTGAGCTAATGCTGACGCTGTTTCTGATGATGATGACGATGCTGATGCTGATGATGCTGATGCTGATGACGATGCTGATAATGACGACGGCGATGATGATGATGATGGTGGTGGTGGTGGTGATGATGCAGATGATGCTGGTGTTGGTGGTGATGATGATACTGCTGATGATGAAGATGATGATGCTGCTGCTGCTGCTGATGATGATGATTATGATGATGATAGTGGTGGTGGTGGTGCTGATGAATAATGGTGACACTAAGACGGTTGCTGATGAAGATGCTGATGATAGTGGCGTTCATGCTTATGATGTTGATGGTGATGATGAGGATACCGATGGAAATGATGATGGTGATGCTGCTGCTGATGAAGGTGATGCTGATAACGATGATGGTGGTGGTGGTGGTGACGGTGGTGGTGATGACTCTGGCGATGGTGATGATGCTGATGATGGTGATGATGGTGATGATGATGATGGTGACGATGACGATGATGTTGATTATGATGATGATGCTGATGATGATGATGATGATGATGATGTTGACGTGTTGTTGATGATGGTGGTGATGATGCTGCCGGCTGTGACGGTGGTACTGGTGACGATGATGACGATGATGGTGATGACGGTGATGGTGATGATGTTGCTGATGATGATGATGATGATGATGATGATGATGATGATGATGATGATGATGATGATGGTTGTGCTACTGATGATTATGCTGGTGATGTTGATGGTGATGGTGATGGTGATGGTGATGATGATGGTGACGAGGAGGAGTAAAAGGCGGAGGATGAGGAGAAGGAGGGGCAGGAGGAGAGGGCCCGAGCAGAGCTGGACGATCGCGCCGCATCGCCAATGCACCGGCGACGCGATTCGATGTGGAGCCCGCTTTTCCCCTTGCCGACGGCCCTAGTTGCATCGTCAGTCGGGCACGATCGTCGGGCCCAATGTACGTGGACCCCGTGTGGGAGGCCTCCAAGAAGGGGGATCGCCCTACGCCTCGAGGTCAAGGGTTTCGGGCGCTCTTTGCCCCTTCCCTTCGAGCGGGCTCGTCGTCGCCACGGCTGGATTCTTGCCGAAATTCTGGTCGGGAGGGGGAATGGAGGTGCGTGTGCGTTCTAGTCGTGCTCAGGTCAGTAGTTCTTGACTGTCGCGAGTTGACGGCTCGCAGCGATCTGCACCTTCATTTTCACCCTCCAGATGGGTCCCTCGGGCGATTCTAGTAGATTGAGCGTTGCCGGGGGCCAGAAGTACATTATGAGTTCCGTCACTGATGTCCGTGCTGGGAATACTTATGTTGCGTTTCCTGCTTGCTGCTGTTCCTTCTTCCTCCGTCCTGTGCCTTCCGCTTAGCCTCCCCTCCCATCTTCTCTTCCTGTCTTCCTTCATCAACCTTCATATTGTTCCTCTGCTCCTCCTCTTCCTCCTTAGCCTGTACCTCTCCTTGCTCCTCATGATTCTCCTCTCGCCTTCTCCCTCATCCTCCTGGGGCTCCTTCCTCTCCTCGTCCTCCCTCATCCCCCCCTGCTTCTGCCCTGCCCCTCCCCTCCCTCTCCCCCCCCCCGCGCTCTCATCGCAGCTGCCCCGCTTCATCCTCTTCTGTCCTGCGGCCGCTCCTCCCTCTGCTCTCTCCTCGCACACCCACCCCCCTCCCCCTCCTCGTCCTGCGGCTGCTCCCCCCGTCCCCTTTCCCCCCCCCGCCCTCCCCAACCTCCCTCCCTCGC